CGAATCCCCTGCACGTTTGCCAGGGTCTTCTGCTACCATTCCCGCGTGACGTTGAAGTCACCGTCATTCTAACAGTTCTGCTACATTAGACTACATGACATAGCCACATTATGTCTGTGTTCGGCTACTGTATTTTTTCATTCAATTTGACTGTCACACGTCACTCCCCCCTTGGTCGATGGCGAACATTGGTATTTTGTCATGCATCACCCACCCTCTGGTCGAACACATTTTTCATCACGCAGCCCTCGAAATTCCCCAAAATTGTGTCTGTGATGCACAAAATTGAAAATGTCACGCAGAATTTCGGCCACGGTCGAATGGTCGAATCGGTAATTTGAGTCACGTGTCACCCCACTGGTCGGATTGAATGAAAAAATACAGTACGTTCGGCCACGTTCGGCTACGTTTGGCTATGTTCGGCTACTTTCGGCTACGTCCGGTAGACATATGGCACCCAAAGGTGTGGGTGGATTTCGGATTTGAGGTGGATTATGGCCAAATTGTGGCTAGTATATGTATGTCTACTGTAAACCTGGCCCGGTTTACGGACCGGTCATAGCTTACATAAGTAGTCACCTTTTGTCCTTACTGTCGTCCTCGCGCTCGTCGCTCTCGAATATATGTTGGTCCTGTTGACCCAGTGTGATTCGGCTCAGTGTTTTTCTGGTTGGCCACCAGGTTTCCATCTACATATGTATACCTTGGTCTACATGAGACTATATGTAGCTACCCAAGGTAGACACAGGTTGTGAGCATAGCCACAGGTAGACACATGTAGGCCAGGTGGGTCTCGTTATATGTACCCATTAGGTAGACAAAAATCTGTGGCTACCCCTCTGTTTACATCAGTAGACACACCCTGTGACTACGGGGGCCTCAACACAGTGCTTATATATGACTGAGAGTTACCCCTGTAATATTATCTTTGTTTCCATGTGCTTGCTGCGAGTCATGTGTGACTGTCAACTTCCAACATGGGCATGCTATTTGTGAGTGGGAGCTACTTAGCAGTCCCGAATATTTCGTGATGGAGAATCTGCTGTGTGTTTCCTTGCCGACTTGGGGTCAGTAAATGCTATATATTTCGTCCAGAAACCCTGAACCACCTTCCTGTGCACTGTTCAAACACAATTAAGATCTGTGCACACCCACCATGGCAGATTAGAAGCGGCAACACTGGTGTGTCGGAAAATCCCAATCTGCCTGATCAGGCCTGACTGGTATATCAGGACTGATCAGGTTCACCTGCCCAAGTCATCAGGGCCTATCAGGCCCTGTCAGCCCTTATAACCCCTGGTCACTTTGACCCAGAATTGATGCCTCTTGAAGTAGTATAAGGGTGCGGGAAAATACAAACAAGTAACATAGTATTACAGCTAATTGCAGTACCGAAGGCGCGAACCAAAGATTTATATTTTGGGATATTTTCAAAGAATTCCCGATATTTCAGTCAGTTCTTCATCAATTCACATAAAAACTAGATAGATCTACTCAATCAATTCACTCGCGATTAGTGATAGAAAGGAATTTGGGAAAATATTATGTATTAGGTATTTTCTGGTTCCAGGCTGTTTTCACACCGAAAGCCGTGTAGCATGCCAAGAACATGTCCCAGCGGCCTAATATTTTAGGACGGAAAACATTTATAGCTGCGGAAACATGTGATAGAGCCAGAAACACGGATAAATTACTTACAGTTCCTCTAGCTCCCTCGGATACATTTGCCGGTTTTGTCCTTGAGAGATATTGTAAAGATTACATTTATCTAGGAATTTCATGTATTTCTGGCTATATCACATGTTCCCTCAGCTATAAATGTTGTCCATCCTAAAATATTAGGCCGCCGGGGCATGTTCTTGGCATGCTAGACAGCTTTCGATGTGAAAACAGCCCGGAACCAGAAAATACCTAATACATAATATTTTCCCAAATTCCTTTCTATCACTAATTGCGACTGAATTAGCTGAGTAGACCTATCTAGTTTTTATGTGAACCGATGAAGAACTGACTGAGATATCGGGAATTCTTTGAAAATATCCCAAAACAGAAATCTTTGGTTCGCGCCTTCGGTACTGCAATTAGCTGTAAGGTGTTAAATATTCACGTGTAAAACATATCTGCGTATATTGTATCCACCACAAAATGAGTGACTTCGTTGGCCGCAGGGGAAACTGGTGCCAACAGTGCCCCTCGGGCGACATGCACCATGGACAGGAATTCATACTCCTTTGCCTCCTCTCGGATCTCGCACCCCGCTCAGTGTGTTCTTGGTTTCGGGAGTATCATCGATGAGATTGTTGCAATCTTCGGATTCATGCCATGCTTTATCAATGAGAGTGATAGTGGAAGTCTGCTCACCAGACTTCCAGTCAGACAGACCAAGGCAATGCACAAGAGAACAATAAGACCCTTTACAGGGGATTCCAGGAGAGTAGCGATAGGATACAATAGAGATCTCGCAGCGGTCGTGATGGTAAGAGGTAACGAATGTGAAGTGTGACCGTAATGTAACGCGAGCAAATGCGTGAGCAGGTACGAGCGGGTTTACAGATAGTTGATTGGATCACCAACTGTCGAATGCATGTACTTATCCCATCTTGAATGTCAACCGCCGTGCGGCAGTGTGCGAGCGAAAGTGGTTGTAAGAATTGATATGGTATGGTCAGGCCGAAGAATGATGCTATGTGTTAAGCATAGTTGCTTGCTTGCTGTGGTTAATATCACCTAGTGGTTTTATACTGATTCACGGCTTTTTAGGTGTTTGCAACGCTGCGAGTTCGAACACCAGAGTAAGTCGTTTTAGTTTAAATAAAATTCGGGGGACACCTGGTTAAGCGGATATGCCACAAGTCCTAGTCGGCATATAGCGAGGCGATTTTCTACAGGTAAGTACCTCCGCTGTATATACGGAGCGGAACCATAGCTAAAGTCGAATAAATAAACCGGCATTCAAGCACGGTTATCCAGGTACATTCTACCCACTAGAACGTCCACGTGGACCATCGCATTTTCGAACCATGAAGCAGAGTTGATTTCACGGATGGGGAGATGGATGTTCAAATCTTCCCGCGGGCCAGGGGGCATAAGAGCGTCCGGGTTTCCGGATTTTCTCCCCCCGAGCTTTGACAGCATTTTGGCGCACTGACAGAAGGATGATATCTCCTCCAAATGTCTCACTTGATGGAGCAAAATGGCGTCTCACTTCCGATCAAATTCCGATTCCTTTTAACTTGAAGCTCAAGAGTAGTGGTCTTGCCGATGAGGATTTTCAGGCAACCAGACAATTAAAAGTGCGCAGGAAAACTTCGGAGGTCATCATGATCGACTCACTTCGGGCGGACATATACCTGACCCATATTAGGGTGAATGCCCCCACCAGAGATGACTACCCCAAAGGGGTCCCAGGCATAGGGCGGCTCCCGGTGGGTGGGAGCTCCCATCCCAAGCTGGCCGGGAGGCTCCCAGCACCAAGTTCTACGGGTGCTCCCGTGTGTTTTCTGATGACGGGGCCTCCCGTCTGCCCCCCACAGGGGGGATTTTTTCCGCGATTTTGGGCCTCCACGCAGCGTGTTTGCTGCTCCCTGGGGGGTACCTTGTAAGGAGCCTCTCTGACTTTACTCCTACTGATCCTAGGTGCATTATGCAGTGAATAGAGCATTGGTAGGCAGCCCCCCGCAGGGGGGGATTTTTTCGCGATTTTCAGGCTCTGCAGGCACCGTTTGCTGCTCCCTGGGGGGCCCTAAAAGCACCTGGGATTTGGGTTCTCTCACTTTATTTCTAGTGTCCATGGCTCCCCCCACTAGCTCCTGCCAAGGAAATTTATTGCAGCGATTTCAGATTTCCAGCTCTCTGCCTATGATAGGATCTGTTCATCCCACTGCTCTACCTGTCGGTGCTTGCGACCAGCCATCCCACCATATACGTGCTTCAACAACATGTATACTCACTCTTTATGTTAGTCTGAATAGACATTGTATATTCTAATGTCCAATCTGTTCAACTCCATGTACCGTCCGCAAAGTTTGGAGTGACCAGCCATCCCACCATGTATGAGCTTCAACATGTATACTCCTCTACTTTAGTATGGATGGACATGTCCAATCTGTTTAACTCCGTGTACTGTCCTTCATGTTTAGATGCTTCCAATTTGCTGTTATGGGTCATTCTGTCAAGTCCTTATGGCTCCCTTATGTATTACTTACTTGGGCGGGAGCTTCCGTTGGACAGGGTTTATGTGCTCCTGGATGCTCCCAGCTGTTATTTATCAGTTTGGTGGGAGGCCCCGTCCACCTGCCCTGGAAGCTCCCACCGACAAGGGCGGGACCTTCCGGCAACATCAGCGGGACCTCCCCACCACATCAGCGGGGCCTCCCAGGTAACTTCAGTGGGAGACCCCACCACATGCAGGGCACTCCCACCCTGAACAGCATGGGAGCTCCTGCCTCAGGGCTCTGGGAGCTCCCACCCTGGGCTATATATCCCCTGGGAACTCCCACCTAATCACTATATGCACTGGGAGCACCTGCTCATACTCCACATACATGCAGGAGCTCCCGCCCACATTCCACATACATGCGGGAGCTCCTGCCCACATTCCACATACATGCGGGAGCTCCTGTCCACATTCTACATACATGCGGGAGCACCCGCCCACATTCCACATGCATGCGGGAGCACCCAGCCCCCCTTCAGCAATCTATGGGAGCTCCCGGGTATTTTCATTGGCTTACCGGGTGCTCTCATGTTGACCCCTTTTAACTTGTCTGACTTGGTGTATTTTTTACAAAATACAAATTTTTATCAGTACTACATTTTTTGCACATGTACATATGTTATTTGTTTTTTGGAGGCTTATTTGTTTTTGGAGACTTACATGTTTTTTAGGATTGTTTAAACCAGAATTGCCTTTTGGGGACAGTAGCGGTTGTTTGTATGGTAGGCTGGGTTTATACTTTATTGCGGGTGAATCTGGTATGCAACATGTGCACTTTTCCTATGACCTTGTGGTGGCTTAGTGGTTATCGCATCGACAACCATTTGCCCTGCTTTCATTAAATTGCACTCTGTCGAGGTCGTAGGTTCAAATCCTACCAAAGGCTTTTCATTTGCTTCCCTTTTCAAGTCTTTTTTTTTGTTATTCATTCCTGTTCTTCTTTCATCTACCAACATTATCGCTCGCCCTCACCTCATTTCTCAAAATCTTTTCAATAACTTAACGATCTCGCTGGCCACCACACATACACAAACAACCCATCGCTTCCCAAAAAGGAAGTTGTGCTCACAAGGCGCCGTTCTAGAAAAAGAAACTTAAATGGTACAACACACACATGAAGTGCTAGTAGATAGTAATAGAATTCTTGAAGTATGTAAAGAAACCCACAAAAATAGACAACATAAATCGTAAAACAAAAAAAAAAACATCAATTGCAAAGACAGTTAATTGCCATAGGCCCTGAAGTGCGCCTCAGCCTCCGCGCTCTCTTCATTCTCCAGCTGCCGGCGATCAGCAATAACCTCATGAGAAGGATATGGTTCAGCTGCTGCGTGGCGCAGACCTGTGGCAAAAAATTAGTCGTGCCCGAGTGCCCAAAAAATCAAACCATGTACGTTCGTTGGTTGCAGGCGGTTGCCACTTGGCAATGGGAGACGCATGCATGGTGCGGGATGCCAAGGAATGCTCCCACGCATGAAGGGTGCGGGCCAGTGGCGTGAGACGGCGAAAGTCTTTGTTGTTGCGCCACGGGTACCAGACGTAAGGCACCAGTTGTCATGGTGTACCGGCAGGAACATGGACCATCGCGGGCACTGCACGAGGTATATGAGCGTGTCCCAAAGAAAAAACGGGCACTCACCAACGTGGAGCAAGCAGCCAGAGTCGGTCTTCTCACATGCGATGGCCTCAGGAGGACAGGTGCACTGGACATGAATCAAGTCAGAAAACAGCGAGGGCGCTCGCAAAATAAGACGCACCGCGGGGCGGGGCTTCGGCTGGTCATTCAGCGACCCCAGGCCATAGATCACACAAGCCTTGCAAGCTTCGTCGACATCCTGGTGCAGCCCGTGCAAGGTCCAGTTGTAGCTGGACCACCCCCACAATGCCACGAACTGATTGCATCCGGTGCACTGCTGGTTGGCATACGAGGCTCTGGGGGCGGTGGCACTGCGCGCGAGTTCATCCCGGGTGAACATCAGGATATAACCGCCCCGGTGCAAGTTCACATGAAAAAGAGCAGGGCGCGGGTCAGGGCGCGGGGCGGGCGGGTCGATCCGGGCGTCTTGCATGATGAGCGGAGCCGGCAGGGCGGTGGCTGAGGAGCGGAGGGTGCGGCGTTCGATGGGCATTTGGAGGGCAGGATGAAGGGAGTGGGGCAGGGACTGCTGGCGGTCAGAAAATTGGGCGGCAAGTTATATACCAGCACCCACCCATTCGTTTAGGCAACTCAACACAATGATCGTCTTGGTGGCTCGACCAAATGCACCCCATCCGGTAAGCAGTGAGTGGCCTTCACTCGATCCTTGAGGAATTTGCGACCCATGTCCCGCTTCTGACCGGCATCCGAGAACATCATCTGGCTCGGGTACTTCATAGCGTACTGTAACTTCTTGTTCAATAGAGAGGCAGCGGTGGCACCCGCCATCTCCATCTCGAGCACACTACAAATGTCCATTAAGAGATCGTCCCGTCCGGTAGACAGATAGTAACATACTGCAGCTGTGACTCGTACTCCTTCGTACTCTGGGTGGCCTGGCTTGCATGTTGCTGCTTCATTAGCTTGTACGCCTCGCTGGCACCAAATGACTTGCTGCCGCTGCTGGTGGGGATCACATAGCCAAAGATGTGGACGTTGAGCTCCTTCCATGCACGGTCGCTCTAATCATCATGGGGTGTTAGTCACCAAACTTGAAAAATAAGGCAAACAGCTTACCTGCTTGGTCAATTGGTTCGTGAGCACTTTGATGCTGCGGGCTTGGCCCCCGCCTTTCGAGGTGCGGTCGTTTGCGACGGTGGCCACGAGGTCATTGTGCCACTCGACGAGCCACGGAAGTTTATCGAGGATGACATCCGGGTCCTTGAGCTTCGACTCGCTCAGCTGCAGCAGTGTGAGGTGCGTCTCGTAGGCGATGCGGTCAAGCTGGCCGCGCTCTTTCTTCGACACTGGGCAAGGGTCAGTGCATGTTATGAGCGCATTCAAAGGCGAAGCATGTACCATCCTTTCCGTGCACCTGCTTCCCTCCGGTGGGCGCATACAGCCAGCGCTGGAACATGTTCCAGGCGTCCATTTTTCTGGTGTTGCTGGGCGTCCTGTCGAGGAAATCCCACAGCGACGCGCTGGGTTTGTTGAGTTGGCTCACGAGCGTCTCCACTTGAGTATCGAACACCTCCTTCCACTCGAGCAGGGTGTCTTGGGTCTTCTTGTTGAGCGGGCCAGACTTGTGGCGCGTGCCTTCCACCGCGGCGTCGTCTGTGTCGTTGGGGGAGCCGTCCACGGAGGTGGTCGACTTTGACTTTGACTTCCGGGGCGGTGCAACGCCCGAGGACTTGCCAACTTTCTTGCCACCCTGCTTCTGCTTGACCGGACGCTCCACCGGCTCCTCCTCCTCCTCGCTCTCCTCATCATCCTCGTCATCCTGCTGCTCGTCGTCGCCGTCCTCGTCCTCGTCGTCGCCGTCCTCCTCGTCATCGTCATCGTCATCGTCGTCGTCCGCGTCGCTCTCCTGCACCTTCGACTTCCCCTTTGCCTGCGCACGCAACTGCTTAAGCTCCGGGTCGTCCTGCGCCTCGCGCTCGAACTCCCACTCCTCCTGCTCATCTTCCTCGTGTGGCATCATCGTGTGGCGCAGGCAGTAGTTGCTCTGGTGCTCATACTTGATGCACTGCTCCTCCGTGTCAGCTTGGACCACCTAGTCGTTCTCGGAGCTGTCGTCGTCGAAGCCATCGTTGCCACCCTTGGGGATATTGGCTAGCTCTTCCTCGCCGGACTGGGCGTCTTCACTGTGCATCGGAGGCAAGGCATGACGATGAGCGGGGGAAGACTGGGGGGACGAAACAGGGGCTGGGGGGGCAGATCTTCCCTGCAGCTGGCGTTTGACTTGGCGCACGACGATTGCCGCCCGGTGGCATGCGTAGTGGGCCTGCCGGTCGAAAGGCGGTCTTTGAGTGAGGTCAAGTTTGGGTTGCGAAGCTCCGGCGACCACAGCGGGCACGGCGGTGGCGGTGGCAGACCTGATGATGCTTGCGGGACGGGGAGGGAGTCTGCCGTGGACGGGTGCGAAGCTCCGGCGGCCACGGCGAGCATGGCGGCGGCGGCGGCGGCGGTGGTGGTAGTGGACCCGATGATGCTGGTGGGGACGGGGAGCGCGTCCGGAGTAAACATGGACATTGCGACCACCAGGGGTGCGCGGCGCGAGGACATTAATTGGTTGCAAAGCTCTTGTTCCGAGGAGGACAGGCGCATCGACTCCGAAAACTGGGTTTTGAAGGCGGCGAAGGGGGGTGGCACGAAAGCTGGGGCATCCGGTGCAGGTGGGTGCACCGCTGCAGGCCGCGGTGTGGAGCTGGCAGGGGTGGCAGGCGCAACAGGCTGGGTGAACTCGGTCAGTACGGTAGCCGCCCAACAACGGATGACTTACGCTGACAGGCGCTGTGCTAGGTGCACGCTCTGCAACTACGACATCGTTTGTAGACGCGGGTGGGGCCGGCGGCAGCTTGGGTGTCGCTTTCGGTTGCGGTTGCATGCGCTGTGTTTGCTGTCAGCCTATGTTTCAGTAGCACAAAAAGAGCACATCACCCACCTTTGGTTTGGTTTTGGGTTTGGGTTTGCGGGGCGCCTGCTCATTGGACAGACTGGGGACTAGAGGCTGGGCAGTGCTACGCGTCGAGCGACGGCCTGGCGGCAAAGCAGACATAGTAGACAGACAAAAAATGAGGGAAATTAGTGTCGAGGAGACACCTGGGCGAGGCGTCAGATGGTGAGGGACGCAAAACGGGAGCCAGGAGAGCTGACCTTTACGCGCGCTTTGGTGGCCACCACCAATTACTGCTTTCGGCCCCCCCCATTGTCTTTGCGTGTGATGGCTGCCGTGCTTTGGCGCGATTTCAGGCAGCTCGTGGACGCACTTCCCCCGGCTTGGGCCCCTTTGCTTGTTAAGTATATGTATTTCTACGTAGGGTATTGGTATGTAGGACATAGAGTATTGTCATAAAATGCCCGTCCCTCTCTTTCGGTGTTCCAGGGTCGGACAACGTACTTGAGAGGGACGGACGTCCCGCTATTCGACCAGTATCAACCTCGCTACTATTTGAATGCTATTCTACAACAATGTATGTGTACGCGACAATGTATCTAGACTACTACTTCGGGATCATGGTGGTCAGGAGCAAGAAGGAAAGAGGCACCCAAGCCAAACAGCGCCTCACTTGATGAGCCGCCTGTCGGCTCAGCTTCTGCACGCCGAAACGGTCACGTGTCCTCAACGCGACACGCTTAAATTTTATTAAATTCACGTCGGCCAGATTCTGCAGAGAGAAATACAAGTAATTTTTTTTCTTCGAATGGGTAGAGTATTTACAGATCTTCAGTAGAGTATTTATCTATTTGCAATAAAATTATACAAAAGTGGTTGAGGGAAATTTGCGCTTCTCGTTCTCTGCCTCCTTGTTCGTCGCGCAACCTAACCGCAAGATATAAAAAAAGAAGGGGCTGGCGCCACCCTTGAGCATCACTGCGAAGACATGCTGTCCATGTGAATGGGCAATGTCGGGCCGCGTCTCCACGTAGCTCCCCAGGGCCGATGTGTCCCCCGCCATGTCCCCTCCAATTATCATGACGCGCTGTCGCAGGCCCGTAATCAGGGTGCCATCAGGGCTGTCCCACACTTGCTTTAGAAACTGGCCGGGGACATCGTGCTTCCTGTCGTTGGCGTCGACGGTATACACCATGATTTTTGCCTGGACCAAAGCCTCCGGTGTTATCGGCTCGTCAATCAGGAGGAACCCGTGTCTCTCATCTAGCCCGAAGAGCAGCGGCGACGGTTTGTGGTACTTGGTCCGCACCATCTTCTTGATGCCCTCGACGAGCACGTCAACCCGTTTTCCCAC